AACTTTCCCCATGCCTTACTAAACATAAACAGAAATGGGAAAGGGGAGGTATGGCTCCACGTATTCTTAATCTCGGCACTAGAGGTTATCAGGTACCTTCAACCCCCAACCGATGAACCCCTGAAGAAAGATCCCCGACCGCCACTGGATAAGAGGCTGGGTGAACCCCAGGACCGGCTTTCCTCTATTGCGAATCGAACTCCGATTCCTTGGTCGTTCAACACTTACCTCCTGAAACTAAAGCTGTCCCTGTGCTTAACTAATTAAGCACTACACTATAAAGACGTATGGGGGAGTGGATGTATAGATCTACATCTTCTTGACCTCGGCACTAGCTGAAGGAGAGTGGTCAGCGTCACGCCGCAGTCGCTTTATCCCCGGGGAAGGAACTTCCGGTACCCAGTAGATAAGAGGCTATGTACGTCCCAGAGTCGGTCTGGATGATGTGGAGAACAGAACATTTTTGGGTCTACCTGGACTCGAGCTCCGACCTCTTGGTCGCTATCAGGGGTCCCACACTTACCCTTATAGCACTTTTAAAAAAAATATTTTGATGGATACCTCAATATTTTGAGTGCCGTTTATGGAGGAGGCAACAGCACGCAACTGTAGCACTCTCCTATCCATACTGCGAGACAGGCTGGCCAACCCTTCCGACTTCAGGCCCGCCAACCCACTGTGCTTGTATTTCCTACGAAATTATAGAGTCCATGATGTTCTCTTGTTCTTGGGATTACGAATACTGCCTTCCGCGAACTGAAGCCCCATGCTCTGGTAGATATACCTTCTTCGAGAAACCTCTGCACCGGGCTACACGGCGTCACATTCAAGCCTTTCCCGATGTAGGAACTGAAACCCCCTTCTGTCTCCGCAAAGGCGCGTCCACATTACTCGTGCTCGTGCTCGTCGGGAAACTCGTCTGGGTTTTACTTGTGCCCGTAAACCTTCGTCCTCACTACTCGTAGTGTGTATAGGCCGTAGTCGGCCACGCCATAGCTCAAGCGGTTAGTCGCTGGCTTCCCACCGCGGCGGCCCGGGTTCGATCCCGGGTCCGGTCAAGTGGGATTTGTGGTGGAAAAAGTGGCGCTGGGGCTGGTTTTCTCCAAGTACTTCGGTTTCCCCTGCCAATCTTCATTCCACCAAGTGCTCCACAATCACCCTCACCTATCATCTGGGGCTGGTACAATAGGCCACAAGTGGCCGCAGTTCAAGGGACTTAGTCCCACCCCACTAGCAATAAAAAAATATGCTGAAGTCGTATTTTAATTTATTGGCTATAGTTTTAAATTTGCTTGTCTCGTGACTTGTCATATCGTCCACATTACTCGCGAGCAAAGCGAGTCACACGAGCACGAGCATGAATAATGTAGACGCTCCTTAAGGGTAATGGCATACACGCACTGCAGGCCACTAGTTGCAAACCACAGTCCTCTAGGAACTCATATGAACTACAAACTTTTCTAGGTTTTGACGCAACCTGCAGCATGTAAGACTATCCGTTTCCGTTAAAATCATATGAAGCAGCATTTCCTGCTTCGTTTAGTCTTCCACCCTGAAGACGGAGGTAGCACGTTCCTCCGAAATATCTCTAAAGTACCAGACTACAGAACATCACATAACAGAATAGAGCATTCGTCTGGTACAAAATGTTCCCAGATACTTTGTCTAAAATTAATTAACAAATGTTTCTGATGTTCCGTCTTACGCGCAACACTCCTTCAGAATTTGTTTAAAAGTTACTACATATACAAACAAAAGGAAAAAACAAACTCCGTGGCAAGCGAACTATACCGACCGAGCGACCGCCGCTTGTTGGCGAAGTTAGTGCCAACTTTTGCGGATAGAGGGTGTTGTGTAACCGTCCATTCTGACTGGAGGAGTGTTGTGTGAAAATTAAATTTTGTATTAAGTTAAGATTAACAATATTACAAACAAAGAGATCCGGCAGATAGCCAGCTCTTACATGCGGAAGGGACATAGTTCAAGTTTTGCTATGTGAACAGGAAGTAACATCTGGTACTTTCCTGGAATTCTGGCAGTTTCAGCAACGTCGGAAAGGCTTTGAGAAAATGAGAGCTGACAGCTTGGGACAGCGATAACTTAGAAGTGGGACGGCCGGAGCCTCACACCCTGACTGTAATGCATCAAGGGGCTGTCATCCTTAGCGTCAGGTCAGCATCTGCCAGAATCACATAGCAGAGCAACATGATTGGGAATTCAAAATTTAGGGAACCTCCTAGTTTGAAGAATTAACCAATGGCAGAAGTGGAGGAGTGGATTTCTCTTCGAGTCTGGGGTTCGTGGACCTCAGAATTCAGAGAGAGGGCATTCCACCTCGGAGAGTCTTGACACTACTTTCGGCAAAGTCGGACACTAAATTTACCACTACGGCCCTTCCGTAGAATAGTATAAGTACAGTTCAAATCAATAGTATTAATAAATTCAGTTGTATGCAGAAAGCTGGAAGGGATTAAAGGACTACTAAGTGCAACCGTCGAAAGGTGGGTGACTGTAGTGAAGTGTTCTTCCTGCCCTGTCCGAGCCAGACCCTGGGATAGGAACCCAGCTCTACTGATTAAAGTAAAGAACCCAAAGAAGTGAGCGGTGGTGGAGTGGCGCACAACGAAAAGGGCACAAAGGAAGTGAGCGGTTACAGTTGTGTGTTCAGCGCAACGGATCCCCACGGCCGATAATCTCGATTCTCTAGACCGGACTATATATACACAAAACCTATTTAAAACTGCATTGTACACTATATGTTTCGACTGTCATTGGTTATCATCAAGTATTTTAAAACTTTGTCTAAAATACTACAAGCAGAATCCGTATTGTTTGTTAACTTACTGTGGTGCAACTGTTCATATCGGTTTATGCGTTCGTTTTGTTTTCGCATGAAGTTCACAAAATGGACGCGTAATGAGGAGGTAATATCTAACCGTCTGAGTGTTTCCTGAACGAAATATTGCGATGTGAATCTTACACTAAAAGTTGGGGACCTATAGCTGTAATTGTATCGATTACCTTAGAAAGAAACCACCAAAGGCACCGCACGGTTCGCACATGACTCCCAGATCTGCGTAGAGAAACACAAGGAGCAATGTCTCCACTTGCAGACAGAAGCTCTGCAACAGCAGATGCGCCTTCTCAACAAACGGAACATCAAAGCCACTGATTTACGTCTGACGGCAAAGAAAGGTTTTGAATATATGGGTACTCCACAATGGAGTACACTTCTCTACTCTTTGTTAATATCCGAACGGTACCGTCACGTGATACATAAACGCGGGAGCCTACCGACTGTGGCATTAAGACAGGTTCCTGCTCTACGGAAACAGTGAACCATACTCCTGGGGTTAAGGTGATCGGAGCGTGACACTGGCCACGCACTTCCATCTAGTGTCAAGTAACGCATACAGAATGCGTTAAGCATCACCTTACGTTATCCTGTGGGAACACGCGGTAGCGTAGTTGGTTGAGGCACTGCTGGTTAGCGGGTGCCGTACCCGATGAGGTCACTGGCTTTTTCAATGGACCTAATCCTTCCAGCCGCACTATGGCCCTGGGGTCGTCTCAGCCTCTAACAGAAATGAGTGCCAGGAATCTTTCGGGGGTTAAAGGGCGGCCGGCGCGTAAGGCTCACAACCCATATCAACCTTAATACCTAACCACCAGTTTGGATTTCGGACAGGACACTCAACAGTGCAACAGTGTCATAGAGTGGTGCGATACATCACGGAAGCTATCGAAGAAAAGAAAGTGTGCGCAGCCGTATTTCTAGACATCCAACAAGCATTTGACAAGGTGTGGCACGCAGGCCTACTTTATAAAATCAAAAAGAGATTACCCAACCAAATATACCTCTTGCTGAAATCGTACCTCTCCGAAAGGTCTTTCCAAGTTAGAATAAACACTGACGTTTCAAGCATCCGCAACATAAACTCGGGAGTACCGCAAGGAAGTGTCCTGGGCCCATTCCTATACTTGATATATTCGGCTGACCTACCAACCACCGGCAACACAGTATTGGCCACATTTGCCGATGATACGGCGATACTCACAGCGAACCATAACCCGATAACTGCCTCCGCAAACCTACAAAACCACATAAATCTCCTACAACAGTGGTTCCACAAATGGCGCATGAGCATAAACAACGAGAAATCAGTCCAAATCACCTTCACCAATCGCCGAACCACTTGTCCGCAAATAACAATCAACAACAGGAACATACCAAGCAACACCGAAGTCAAATACTTAGGTCTTTACCTAGATCAAAAACTCACGTGGAGGACTCATATCAAAAAGAAACGCCAACAGTTAACGCTGAAAGAGAGACAGCTGCGCTGGCTGCTAGGAAAACGCTCGCAATTGTCCCTGGAGAACAAAACCCTGTTATACAAGGCAATCTTAAAACCTATATGGACCTATGGCATCGAGCTCTGGGGCTGCGCTCGACCATCCAACACCAAAATCCTCCAAACGTTCCAATCGAAAACACTACGAAGAATCACAGGCGCACCATGGTACGTAACAAACAGAACTACCCACAACGACCTCAACATACCCTTCATCACGGAAGAGATCAGAAAACATGCCACCAGACACCGTACTCGGATAACAGGACACGAGAACCCGCTAATCGTTGAATTAACGAAACCGCACCCAGCAGCAAGACGACTGAGGACAACCTGGCCAGAAGACTTATATAACTAAAAGGTAGAGTACTGCCACTGGGCAGCTGCCGCCTTCACGACATAAGCACCCATCACATTTGCTTATTACTTGCAGTGTCAAGTAGATTGTAAATTGACATTAATAATAATAAAAAAAAAAACTTCACCGCCATCTGTGAGCAGACTGTCTAGAAAAGTGTGGGAGCCTCTACGTCTCACAACCCTATGGGCCTTCACGGCCTGTTACAGGGATATGTTTACCTTTTAGCTCTACCTTACCTTATCCTGATGGCTTTCATTGCATCGGGTTTAGATACAAAAACTCACCTATACAGACCCCCACTCCCCGGAAGTAGAGAAGAGCTGGGTAGAGTCGTCAAGGGGCAATCTGAAAGGTTGGCAGGACACAGCGACTGTCATGTTGGCTTACCTGCAACACAGAACACAGTTATCACGTGGTCTCTCTATCGTATTTGCCATCTGCCTCTCAATACAACACTCGCGTCACTCTACGACTGAACAGTGCAGTCTACAGTCTACGCTACCTAAGGCGCCGTTAAATAACTTCTGTCATGGCGGAGGATATGAAAATTGCTGTCTTCTGCTGGATCGTTACCGACCGACACGACACTAACGATCTACCAGAATACACGGCGTTACAACCCAGAATATGGTAATTTTAGCTTCAGCTTTCCCGATCCGAAATTCTGTTTGTATACCTCAAATCTGTTAGCCATGTAGCTCACTCGAGTTCCTCCCCCCAGAAATTAATTAAGTAACAACGACATCAGCAGCGATAACAACAGGTAGGAGCGCAACAAGTCGCGAGATGCCGGGCGCCCCCCCTTGTTTCCGTCCCCCTTCCCCCTCCTCCCCCTGACCATGATCGATCCGCTACACAGTGCCTGGCAGCGTGGCCAGGATACTATCGCAGCCTTCGTCTGGGGCCGACATTCAGACATGTGGAACGAAATGAACACACATCTGTGGTTAAGGAACGCTCTGTGATGGGATATAAAGAAGTTAGAAAACGCACCTACAACTTTCGTTTGTTTCATTACATTGAAACCCGCAGGACTTATGGGAAGTGCTTTCGTCTTTCTCCACAACTTTTGTTCGAAATATTTTAGCGAGTTGCACGTAGGTCTCCATGTAAAGTGTCTGTTACTACTGCCCAGCACTAGCCGCTGGGCAGTTGATCTTATTAGCGATGACGTACTGCGTTTTCTGTGAGGTACGAACGTAATTTTTATATATAATTTAAAAAAAAAAGACTTTAAGACCGCTTTGAAGCGGGTTCAAATACCTCCACCGTGACCTTGCGAGTCGTAGTACGAGAAGAGAAGCGAACCTAGTGCCTGGGGGTTCTCGAGTCTGAGACCGCGGTTTGCTCACAAAACATTAACCTTACAATTCAATAACTAGCATCTGATTGGAAACCCTCCCAGGGCGACAGTTCCTGGAAATAAATATCCTGAGCGAGGATCCTTAGCTCATGCAGAAGAACGCATCTACTAATTTACTTTATTGCTAGTGGGGTGGGACTAACTCTGGCCTACTGTACCAGCCCCAGATGATAGGCGAGGGTGATTGTGGAGCAATTGGTGGAATGAAGATTGGCAGGAGAAACCGAAGTTACTCGGAGAAAACCTGCCACAGCGCCACTTTGTCCACCACAAATCCCACTTGACCAGACCCGGGCCGCCTGGGTGGGAAGCCAGCGACTAACCGCTTGAGCTATGGCGCGGCCATGCATCTACTAGGACAGCACCTTAAAATAGGCCACCATATCTTCCTTCCATATTCCTACCAATTATATGCTCCCTTCGACGATATATAGCTAACTTATGCAGTTGAGATGGCGTTACTAAATAATCCCGCGAAAGAAATCGCTTCATATGTCTGTGCAGCCACCAAAGTGGTATTAGTGAAGAAATCTACAAAGTCTACCACACGAGTGACCACAGGCAGCACGACCTTCACAGCTAACAATGGTTGCAAAGCCACAGGCGCTTGTTTTCACCGCCGATTTTGTTTCTGTAGTCAGGTGAATTTCCCAGATCGTAGGGCTGGGCTAGTGTTGCTTTCATCCGCATGCTTCAACGTGGGTATGTCTGCCAGAGGCAACTAGAAATATTAATAAGAGTGAGCAAATTCCTTTACTGAAGTTGATCTACGTAAGTAGTGCATAGCACAGGGCTATTGATCCGCATGTGGCCCAACGTCACGAAATATCTCCTTTAACGAGACCGTCAGTATCTCTAGTGTAGAACCATTTGTAATGAAGATGAAAGGATAAGGAAGGAAGCCGTCTTGGCCAAAATTCATGCCATTAGCCCAACATACAGGCCGAGGAAACCCATGAAACCTCCAGTCAGAACGGTCCCCGGGCTTAGACTTCAACGCGGAGCCTCCAGGACATGATCGCTCCATAGCGACGTGCGGTGTCAGGAAAAAAATTACTGACACTTGATATTTGCAAGTGACGTAAAGCTGGACGGAGCTTGTCACGAAACTGTATATATTCTAAAGAGAAATAAAGACTAAAATTTCTAGCATATTCATCAGGAAATACTTCTCTTGCATTAATTTGAGCCGGGAGAGTTTAGCCAATAAGGAGAATGGATGCGGGCTGGACGACGAAAGTTCAGTTCCCTGCTGGGAGAGATATTCTTCCCGAGGGCACACTGCGTCCGGACTCTATGAAAGGGTTATGTTCGTGGTTGGAGAGCCTGCCCTGGTTGCCAGGATACCGCTGTCGGCCTTCGGACTGTAACATGATGAGCTGTAGGCAAAATTCCATTCACGCGCGCTGTAATCAGGAAGTGGTGCCAAAACAGGAAAATAACATCTCCCTCCCCCCATAGTTATTACAGACACTGCATGCCGCAAAGTGGATTAGTGCTACCAACATAAGAGAAGTAAATATCCAAATCACTGGACCTGCTGCTAACCTCCTGAAGTAGGAAAAGAGGTAAGCAGCAGGAGAAAGGGGCAAGAACTGAGAGACGCTTTATTTCGGGGGGAGAAGCACCGTCAGTTTATTAGAAGGATTTCAGGCTTCGCCCTCTCGTCGTACAGATAAAACAGGTATGAGAGTAGAGACGTTAAGAAGGCCAGAAGTAGCGGTTTGAGGCAGGAGCCGCAGAATACGGATTTTCTCAGTTACTGTCCAACCGCATATTCTGCAGAGATAATTGGTGGCCTCTATAGCGGATGGGTTTCATTACGCTGAACAAATATTGGCAGGGCTGCGTGATGCGCGCGCAGTAGTCATTTACGTAGAATCTCAACATTCGCCTCAAGACAGTAAAAGCATAATAGCTTGTGTCAGGTTCTTGAAAGCACGAATAAATCTTTCCAAATTTCAGTTCCTAACTCAAATAAAACGCTGCTTTTCCGTGACAACCATCAGTCGGTTGATGCAATGTAGGGAAATAAAAATCGCTGTTAAATAGACTCTGTAGAGAAAATGTGCAGAGGTTATTCATGTTCAAGCAGGTGGTGCATAAATTTACCACTTTGCTTTAAAATGTTTAAATGCTGGGTAAAAACAGCTATCAGTTTCAGGGCTGTCTTCGTGTTTCCATGGCAACAGTTGAAGAGAAGTACGAAATTTCGACGTGCAACTGTCCGTCTGTCTGTCACTCTGCTCTAGGCTTCACTCCAAAAGCCGATGCTTCTTGAAGACATCGCATAACGGAAACGTTCCTAACAGAGAACAGCAACATGGGCCCCAAATTACGTGGTGTTGCTTGGGTAGAGCCCCGTCCCCTTACGCTACGTCACGGGTCACGCTGTAGCTACAACAGTTGGCAGCGCTGTGGGGTTTCCCAGAGCTCTCAAAAGGGCTCACATACCGAAGAACCCTAAGCTGGTGAAGCTATTTGCGGGTAGTCCTGTACCGTTTCCCACTAATGCACGGAAAGGACATGAAGTTTGTCGTCCTTTCGAGGGACTCCACTTCATGACGCAATTACTTAGCAGCCAAAACGCCAGTGTGTGACGTCATAATCACTAACTGAGCGACCTCGAGTGCTGACATCTAGTATGACGAATGGGAACTACTCAACAATCGAGTTTAACGAGACGGGCACGAGGCTACCGAACAATTTGTTGAAGGATGTCAGTAGGACAGAATGGGGTCTATAACCTATGGTATGCGAACCACTGACGGCCCGACGTTTCTTTCAAGGTGCCGATAAGAACAGAAGCAAGACTATTGCCAGATGAAAAAGTTTGGACAACGCCTTCGACGCCGCACAAATAATAATGTTTATTTACTATTACATTAGTGCATTTTATGGAATCGTTCAGTTTGGTGCAAATATCCATACTTGAGAGCCAGGATAGCTCGGTCAGTGTAGTGACTATGCTACGGGCAGGTAGACCCGGAGAATTGGAGTGAGGCTGACGGCAAGGGGCAAGAGCGTCCAGACCGGCAGTGAGGCCCACTCAACCTCCTATCCAGTGCGTAGCGAGATTCATTACCTGCAGCTAAGGCGGCTGGGGCTTGACACTGTCAACTCTCCTGCAACTAGTGTCGAGAAGAAGCATGTTTGAAGCTTTACTTCCATTGCCCCCTAAGCCTTAATGACATGGCGCTTAAAGAAAGCACAGAGACAAGTTTACCTTTACCTCGCAGCTTTAATTCAAGCTTTTCTTCCGAGTACTTACATACATACATTCACGGTGGCCTAATTTCGGACTTAAAACAAATTAAAGAGCAGTGGTACCTGTACACGTATGTACCACGCACTTGAACACTCAAACACTGCGTACCTGCCCGCAAGTAGCAGGTCCTTTTGTGTATTTGGTACGATTCCCACAATAACAATGCTCATTTCCCTAAGCAGGTTCCAGACTGACCGTTGCCAAGGAGACCTAATGTGTTTCTGTGAGGTACGAACTGGATCTTTCCAACACCAGTCTGCTTATACCGGTTCTCACGGATTCTTCGCTTGCGGAATTTCTTATTTTTCCTTTTACCCTGAAGATGGAGGCGATACGTTCCTCCGAAACGTCGGTTAACACCGCATCTACACGGTGCCACATCCCAGAAGACGGCTTTCTTCATGGATCTTTAAAGTTTATTCAGTGACCAAAAGGTCAAAAAAAGTTTAGGAAAACAATGGCTGTTTGTTGTGAGAAATCGAGGAGCGCACAGACACAACCTGTGCGCGAAATACCACGTTACAGAATGTCAAAATGGGTGATACACATAGTTCCAGTTACCTAGAACCTACAAAGAGATAAGCCCCCCCCTCCCCCTCCCCAGTCTAACAAGCCACTCGGCACAGAACACATTCGCTTTGACTTCAGCACAAAGTAACACAGTTCAAAGAGTTTGCGCTCAGGTAACCTGCTCCTGACACAGGCACATCGCTGCAATTCAAGTGCCATGACATGACTCAACCTTAAGACGCTGAA